ATGATTTGAATGTAATCTTTTTTCAGGCCTAGTTACAAGATGATGAATAGCAAGAGTTCATTCAAGATTGCCAATTACCACAGTACATTCGTATCAACAAACCAGAACAGAATCCCTTGTTTTATACGGTGTGAACCAATCATTTCAATCACCAGTATGGTGGTCTAGGAAAATAAAATTATACAGATAACTCAACAAAACCTGGCAGTGCTCAAATAAAGGACTCTAAACAGCCATTAGTGTAAATGGTCTGAATACAACTACAGTATCTAATGTTGTAGTTCTCTGCACAGTATAGTTTATACATAAGTAAAAACCTTACTGAACTCAATGACAGTTCTGAACAAACATGTATAGAATTGGGTTATATATATTTGGACTAGATAAATCAAGACTGTGTACTTATTATACAGGCTCACTTATTGCACATGTTTTAGTCAGACAAAATTGGCATGAATGCTCTATTAATTACCTCCATAATCAGGTATGGAAAGTTTCAGTACAACAGTTAATCAGTTGACATGTTTTCACATAGTTTTGCTCTGTTTTGACCACATTCTTCTGCTTCTTTAAGCCATACTTGTATCTAATAACAATAACAATAACAATATATTTTAAAATGCATATAACATTTTATTCAGAGATTTCAGAAGCTCTTATTTGGAGTAATATCCTATTTTTTCCATACCAGATTATCACATATTAAGTGTTTGTTTTTCCCTAAAGGGGTTCAATCAAGAAAGTTCATGGCAGATAATACATGCTATTTATCAATTGAGTTATAGCACACCCTAACTATGCTGATAGGCTGACTTAACAATGTTGATTGGGTAATATGAGTATAAGTGTGTTTATTAAAAACAGGTTCCTATATATCACACGTGTTATGAAGTAAAATTTATTTAACCATTGCCTGCATCATGTATGTGATGAAGTTAGTCTTGTCTATAAAGGAACATTTGTATTTTTATTCAAATATTAAATAAAGGATTTATTCAAAAGTCAATGCTACTCTTTATTTCTAAAACTGGGATTTCCTTGAATTTCTTACCAAAAGCTTAGTGAAATAATCGGTCTTTTTTTTTTTAGAATTTTTTTTTTTTTCTGGAATGTAATACTTTGTTTCTTAATTCATAAGGTTTCAACTTCTCAGCAAATTCACATCCTTATATTGAACCTATACACGTTCACATGTCTGTGGATGTGCAGATAAAAAATTGGTTTGAACACAGGGGTTACAAGAACAAAGGGTGGGAAAGATTTATCAAATGATTGCTTTATAAAATAGGCATCTATAAAAGAAAAGCTGACACAATTTTGCCTTCTATGACAAAGTATGCCCAACCCTTTTTCATCTTTATGCATTCACATTAAAACAAGCAGTATACATCATTACCCTTAAGTTTCTGTATAATTATGGTATGATAACTTCACCAAATACAAATATTTGTCTTCCCTTTTTTAAAAAAATGGCCACATGCTTTGCTCCTTCATTTGCTTTTAAGGAAATCATTGTACAAAAATTTTGGGCTGTCACAAGATAAACGTTGAAAGGGAAATGAAATATTTAAATGAATAAGGAAATAAATATAGTCTGATGTCCTATATTCAAAGTAATGGAGATCTAACAGCAAAAATGCAAAGTTTAGTGAATGTTATCCATTTGTCAGTTTTGTGAATGTCCAAAATATTAAAAAAATTCCATTTCCCAGACACACATCAGCCAATGCTGATAATCACATTCAGGAGGCTTCCACTGATGTTCCTGAATTTTTGGATATTCACCAAACTTGTCTGCAATCACCTGTCTTTATATATCAACATTCACTTTCAGTTTCTTGCAGTAACATATTAATCTTATAGACTGGATCCAAACTCAGAGTAGACTCATCCATATGATGAACTCCAAAGGTAACTTATTGGCTACAGTTAAATACAACCAATGTAGGTTAATTGTTTTAGCTTCAGTTACCCAGAAGAGAGCTTCTGGTGTGGGGGGGACACCTATCTTAGCCAGTAGCAGAACCAGTTGCAGATAGGAAATTATAATAATGGTTTTTCCAGTTAACTGATACATTTTGAAAGGGAAGGGAAAGGAAAGGAAGAACTCTGGGATCTGTTCAGTTTACATAAGTCATGTAGTGCACCATCAACTGAGACAGATATAACTGGATAATGTAATGGTCTCACAGTGGTACAATCTTTAGGATACCGTATATCGTACCTTTAAGAGATTCCAAACTTCCATTTGCAGTGCATATGTGCTTAAGCAACTCATTGCTCTCATTCTGTTATCCATTCATCAATCTGTTTATGCTGATGGGAGGGGGGGTTGTCTGTGCAACGCTGTATAACATGCCTCTTTTCTTTATAAAATAAACCCTCAATTCAGAATAAAAACTAAAACCCCAAATCATGTTCACTTGAATCATACTATTCTTCATGCTATACTCAATAGAAATATAAATTCAAGGCAGTCCAGCTAGTCATTACCAAAAAATAATATGTATATATACTTACACTCTCTATAAAATGATTTGGTAATGTGGATTAGGAAATCAGTAAGAAACTCTTTTGAGCCTAGTGTATGCATGTGTGCATGTGTGCATGTGTGTATATACACACATGCACACATACATGCCCAGGATGGCTGTTTTCAAGTATTTTAGTATTTGTGTGTATTTCAGAATGCATTTAAAACAAGTCATATGAAGAAAGGACTGGTTTCACACAAAACGTTTTATCAAAATTAAATAGAAATTTGTCCACTGTAGCTCATTATTAGAGTGTGCATGTATACATAACAGTTTTTCCATTCCCCTTGTACCAGTTACTAACGCTGGGCACATTCCATTGGGACATTCTTCCCCAGTGGAGTCAGTGGGAATTAAGCAGCAACAAGATGAAGTTGCTTGTATCTGTTCCATCTAGGAGAAGGGATTCTCAGCATCATCACCCTTTGCCCTTCTCTAATGGAACAGATGAATACAAGGACAACATATATTAGGCTTTTTTTCTTGTAAAAATGTAGTCCCAATCCAAAATGACTGAGAACATCTTATTTCCCATTCAGCTTGTGCCAGTTTGCAAGTTAAAGGTCAAAGAGCAAAGACATCAAATAGTACACTGTAAGGAAATTCAGACAGCAAAAGTTTTTCTTTTTTTCACAGAAGACAATGTTTAACTCAGTAATGACAATCAACAGATCAATAAAGTTCAAGGCAAGCTGTTCATTGTATCAAAAGCTACCTCCCCGGAATCCTAGCTTTCATAAAAAGTCAGGTATCTATCTAGTGGGGTGCATTCTTTCTGAACACTTTTCATAAATTCACAGCCCAGTGACTGTAAAATCTTGTCACTGCGAGAAGCAGCTCCTAAAATCAATAAAAGAGGTCTGTCAGTTGCTGACTTTTCTCTAGGAAAAAAATATTGATATACAACCTGCTCTGCAGGTCACATGAAAATGACAATACTGCTGTTAGCACAAAATTACATATGATGACACAATGCTGGGTGGTCCCTTGGTTCTTTCCATGATTTAGTGCACAGCTAAATGCCAGACGTCTGGCCAACCCTTTGAGAACTAAGACGAATACCCAAATGACCACATTTTGTGAAGAGGAGGGAAGGTGAGACAGCACCCAGGCAATATGAGATTTTGCTTTCTCTTCTCCTTGACAGGGTTAACTATGCCAATAAGTGTCCATATTCAAAGGCAAGTTCAATACTCATGCAGAATAGTATATATAAAAAAAAACCCTAAAAAAAAGGCGAGCATTTTTTTAAAAAATAAAAAAATTAAGCCAATTATTACATAGAAGAGTTCCATCTGGTCCCACAATTAAACCCCATATTCCTTTTGCTCTTAGGCTGGAGGAGGACCAACACTTTCATGAAAGCTGAAGGTGGTATGACAGAAGCACTGTTTCCAGCAGTGTCTCTTTCTCTTCTATTCATCTCTGTTATACTGCTGTCATTTCTAATCAACAGAGCTTAGCACAAAAAAAGCCCCACAAAACTAGTGAGCAGAGACAATGTAATCCATAGGCAGTATCGCCTCCTGCTAGCATACTGGGTTTGAATTGCTGCAAATTATATGTATCTGTCTCCAGCCAAACTGCAGCCAAGTGTTCAGTTCTGCCCACTGTGGTTCACAAAGGTATGCTGCGTGGTCCTCTAAGCACAGTACCAAAGAAAAGGTCACTTGCATGTTAATAACATAATGCCACTCATCAAGTGCCCTGCCATGTTTGCTGGCAGATTTTTTAAAAACAGTTCACACACCCACTTTCCAAGAGTGTGAGGGAAGCTCATTATTTGTTGATGGGACCCATGGGGTCTACCAATAATGAGATCAATGGTGTTGGGAGAAAAAGAGCAGCAGAGACGTGGGAGACTGATAGAATGGCTTGGCATAGCACCAGCTGAAGACAAGGAGGCAACGCTGAAGAACTGTCACTACGTATTCTGAATGGTAATTAAAAATAAATAAATTAACCCAGAAATTAACTGGAAAATCCATGGTTAGCTTCTGTTGTACTATCCCCACTGTGGCTATCTAGTAGAACTGTATTTCAGTGTTCTAATCTTGTGATGAGCTGATTCAATCCCAGGGCTAACAACTGCCTTCTGTTATCTGCAAATCCAGTTGACTCCTGCCAAACACATTCTGGCTGCCTCTTCATCATGGTACTGAGTAGTATCATAAGAAAATGTGTCAGCCAGGACTACCTACTGTGTCCTGGAAACACACTAGAAGCAACAGTGATGGGAAAGGATAGCAATGGCACTGAGGGCTTTGCAGATCTGGTTTATGAAATATAGGGTGTTACCCGTAAGTAAAAGTGGAATCTGTGCAGTCTTATCATTTCAGGACAACCAATGTTTTTTCTCACTCTGAAAAATGATCCTATAGTTCTCAAAGGGTCACTGATTATATAAGCCTAACACTAGTCTTATGTTTCTCAGTAACTTTTAATGTTATTTTATTTGATTGCACTCTTACTTCGGGGACTTGCTAGTTTCTACTCTGGTTTCAAAATAAGGTTTCTGAGAGGCTTATGGAAAGTCTGGGACCAACTTGCCTGGTACAATTCTGGAGAAAAGAGGAGGAAGAGGAGAGATGAGAAACCAATAAATGCTAAACCAATCAATAAAAAGGATACTCTCTGAATATAGTAATGAATATAAATGTGTTAAAACATTGAGGACATAGCTCAGAACAGTTGTATAAATCACAAAATGAATTTATTATTAAGGCTGTTACTATATTGCAGATATTTTGGCCCCTTGTTTGTTGGAAAATGGCTGTCCAAACAGTCAGAATTCCTGTATGTCATCCTGATCTCCCACTTGATAAAAATAATGTGTAGGAGTATAGGACTATATCTGTAGCTGACAGAAAGCAATCCTCTTTGGAGACAAAGCTGTTTTGGGTCTTCACACTTCCTGAAAGTTCCATTGTGATTGTTGTGTTTTAGTTGCTCTATCTTTTCTCTTTAAAAAATGATTATATATTTTCTTTTTTTTTTAACCTCACACAAAACTCTTTCAAAGGGGAGCAAGCTTTAAAGGAGGGAGAGAAAGAAAGAAAGAAAGAAAGAAAGAAAGAAAGAAAGAAAGAAAGAAAGAAAGAAAGAAAGAAAGAAAGAAAGACAGACAGACCCAACTGGGACACCAGAGATTCATCTTTTTTTCATGTTGTTCTTTTTTATGAATATCCTGATCGTTTTGCATTGGGTATATTGAGCGTGCAGAGGAAAGGCTGGAACTGAATGACAAAGACAGACGAAGGACTGGAGAAACGACAGGTACTGTGTACGATTGAAACTTCCTACTGGAGAAAATTCTCACTCATGTGCAGGACCAGCAGCCCCCTGGATTTTAAAGATCAGCCCTGGCTGAGACAGACACATGCCTGCTCCTTGGTAGGAAACTCCGTAACAGCTCTTTTGTTGGATTTCATGTTACCACTAACTCCTGGGAGAAAAGAAGGGGAAAAAAAATCCCTACATCACACCCACTCTTGCATAGAGCGTTTGCAGTAAAGTATGTGGCGGGGTGTTCCTTTCCTCTTGAACTGGAACACAGTGTAAACCAAGACAAGGAGGCACAGGGCCAGTATGCAGGGAATGACAATGGCTATAGCTTTCACAGTGCTGGCTGTATTGTCCAGTTTGATGACAATGTCTACATCATCTTGAGGGCTGTGTCGGTCTTTGTTCCGGTCTGCTGGTCCATCACAGCCCATGAAATCCTTGAGGATGGATCTGGGATACCCCGGTTCTACCCGGAGCATTTGATTGTTGAATTTCCAGTATTCTTTGCCTTTGTAGAAATAGGTGAAGCCTATTAAGAAACAAACATTGAATTATTTAAATAGATTAACATTTAGTCATCTCTCAGTAAAAGAGAAGAACCTATTGAAACCGAAAATACTACTGCAGTTTGAAAATGAAGATCTCTCCGTCTTGACAACAGAGCCTCCTAATTCTACACATTATCCTTGGTGTTGATTGATATACAGCTCCTACAATTTTATGATACATTTTTTTTCCATTAAAAGAATCATAGGGTTGTTCTGTTCCTGTAAAATAAGGTTGCACCCATCAACAAGTCTGGTTGAGTCATGCCCTAACATGATGGAATAATTAAGATAAATACATTTAGGAACAGTTAAACTGACACTAGAAAATAACTTGAGCCTGCTTTGCTCAAAGAGCTCAGGAATACTGGTCAGTTGTTGCAAATTATAGCAATGGGTTATAGTTAAATTGCTCCCACCCTCCTGATTCTGTTCCCTGTTGCATCATCATCTTCAAAATGAACTCTGCCAACATAAAACAGGTGTACACAGCTTTGTATCTTCAGGAGGGAGCTGGAATTTGATCATTCAAAGGCAGTCCAGGACAATTACAAATGGGCCTAATTGCAGAAATCTGACCTTCCTGCCAAAAAATCTAAAGCTTTTACTGTCTCAGCTGAAAAATGGCACTAATCCAGTATGAGACAAACTTTCACAATGGGTAAATAGCCTCCCATTATTTATCAGTTGCATGCAAGCAATTGGAGCTTTCTCCAACTTTGTAACTTTGCCTCTTGCAATGTGAGAGGTTGTCAAAAAATAGTCTGGACTTCATTTGTGATATGAATCTTACTATTTGGAAAATTGCAATGATTCATTGCAATAATATAACAGACATACAGCTTTTGCAGCTGAACAGTGAAGAGGACAAAACTTTTTTTTTTAATCACTTCTTTCCCTATTCAAATTAAGCACCACTACTTTGACTTCCTGTCTGCAGTTTTATGATAGGAATGTAAAACATCTTGTGGTACCACTTATTACTTTCATTATCTTTCTGAAAGTGTAATGTATGTGAAGCTGCTTTGGAATAATTTTATTTAGGAACCAGCAGACACCATCTTTTTTCCATTTTTTTTTTTTTTTTATTGTGCCTATTGACTTGGCTTGAATAATGAGGCTTTAAAGACGTGAAGCAGGAGAAAGGAAATCTGTCCCTTAGCATATTCTGCAGGCAGGATGAGTTTCAAGTTTCTGCAATCTTACAAATTGCTTAAGAATGAAGTCCCGCTGAAATCAAAGCAGCTTTTTTCAAAGAACATTTCCAATATTTCATTTGAATGTAAAAATACCCCCCTTTGGGTGAATGAGTGAGTAGGGGTAATGGAATATCCATTTTAATGTGAAAGCTTACAACTGTTTTGCTTTTCTGGGATACCATTGGCAGTGTTGTCCAAACTTGGCCACTTTAAGATGAGTGGACCTCAACTCCCAGAATTCCCCAGCCAGCCATGGGGAAGTGGCCAAGTTTGGACAACACTGCCATTGTGGAAAGACTACCAGCGACTAATGGGAATAGTTTCCATGTCATCATCCTTCCACATGAATCTTTTATTATGACCATAATGTAAGTTTATTTATTGACTTACTAATTGGGTTAATCATATGCATTATTTTGACACAATATATCTTGTTTTGATTACCTGCTGTTTGTGGGTCACTGAATAATCATCACCACCATTACTCGATACTTTTGAACAATTACTACTATACGCAATGGTATTAGACTGAAGGGATCAATAACTAAATTGACAATATTAATTGCATAGTTTAGAGTAGGCGTAGAGTTTTTTTATATATTCAAACTTCAATACTAATCGCAATTAGCAAAATTGTAAGAGGAACAAAGCTCAGATAATAGGGAAGACTCCTCCCGAAAC